AGTAATTGAGAACAATAATGGATTTATGCAAATATCACCTGTCCAATAAGATAAAATTAGGAAAATATCTTGGGACACAAACTAAAAAAACTTAGTGCAAACATATGACTTAAAAGAGATTCAGGATTTGCCATGAAAATATAGATCATACCTGCAACCATAATCCACTTCTCATTAATTACCTCACTAAACTGTAACAAAACCTGCAACATGTAGGAAATTAGAGACTCTGACCAACCAAGGCCAAGAGGTATAAAATACTGGTAAAAAAAAATCCAAAACATGTATAACTGAATGTGCGGGGAAACTACGTCACAGGTGCACAGGAAACTTTTTAACAGTTCGTCCACTTGTGTTTCAGAAAAGCAACGTGCTGACAGTGAATGAACATTAGTAGCAGAACCATATTAATTCTGAACACTGATCGATGCTACAATCCACGATGATAACACCAACTTGATGCAAATAAGCAAAGTTACAGTCTTAAACTCAACATACTGCTTCATATAATTCCAGCATATACAAAATGACCACCACATAAATTGCTGTAACTGGATCGATACAACCTCTGTACATGGCCCAGAGGCTAGAAACTGCGAACATAACCAAAGATTATGCGTACTTACTCTTCACAGGTCACCCTTACCAAGAACCTGACATATTACTCCTGCAACAGTCAACTGAACATCTTTGCAGTTCCGTGTTATGATGCAGCCAACTCAACGTGGATTGGCGCCAACTTTCTCGAACTAGTCAAGCTCCGGTTGCTGCTTGGCTTCTTCAGTGGCAGAGCCCCATCCTTGTCCTTGACATCCTGCAGCTGTTCTAAGATATGGGAGCTTGCAATATGAATGTATAACAGTTATGCAGTGCCTAGATCATTAAATGTTGTTTCACTAAAGTACAGGCAACAACTTGTGATGCTAACCTGTCTTAAGATATTGAAATGCCTCCAGAATCTACAGGATCCAAAAGAAATCAGTTCATGTTACATCTGAAACATCAGCAGTGAAAAAGTGAGAGCATTCAGAGCCTAGTACAAGAAATAGTTGAGCAAATTATCAGACTAGTGGGAGAGGACGAAAGGTACACAATTAAACTAATCAGGCTTGCAAACATAATCCAAAATTAAACGAATCAGGAGATATGCAAGATGCTGGGCGGTTCCGGAAGTTTCAGGACATGTGAAACTGAAAAAAATTGGGTCCACAGACAAGAAACTTTGCAATAGTTAATTTTCTTCAGGAAAGGGGGCATATCAACTATGAACATTGATCTGCTTCAGTTTGTGGTTTGTGCAAACACAGCACAGCGAACGGAATCTGCATCTAGAAGAAGAATCGGAGCCATGCTCTAAACATAACCACTACACCTCACAATTTATGCAAGGTTACACACACAAAAAAAAAACTCACCCTTAACACTGCTGCAACTGTGTCCAGAGAACATGTGCAAAAAATACTGCACAAGCACAAAAGATTCAGACTTGTGCAGACTGCAATGCTGTGTCTCCAGCGCATATGTGTAAGGCCCTCTGTACATATGTCCTTTCTTCTCCCCTGCTCATGTTGTTCCTTGTAATGCTAGGTACATTTATGTCTCTGAAATTCAAAGTTGCCGAGAATGAAAAAAAAAACAGTTTTGCAGTAAATTTCAGAGAAACAAATCCATGAAAGAAAGAAAAAACATGTAAGAATGCAAATACCACCCTTGTAAATGTCGTGCTGCAGTCCTTGAAGTGGCATTTTGTTAACTGGGCTCTAGTTCACGCACTGAATTCACTAGACAGGGTTCAGGAAATATGCTGGATTCAGGTTACAAGCTTGATACAAGCACAATTGTGCGGAATAGAAGAACCAAGAATTGGGAGGGTTAATTAGGGTTGAGAGCCTAGATAAACTATGATCCATGATTGATCTTCGATGACTTCCCTCCTGGCAATGTGAGCTGCTTAAATTGCCCTTCTCAAACGAACCAGTCGTCTCCACTCACTAGCTTGTTTGGTTTACGTGGTCGGTTGCTTGTGCGACGGCCCACCACTTGTGCGGGCCTGGGCTCTTCATGGGCTTCTGGTCCACCGGCAGGAGAGGTGCTGACACAATTAATCCTATTGGTGGAAAGCTACAAAATGGCAAGCAGTTGGTGTGTGTCTGATAAACTTCTGAAAGAGAAAGGCATGGGTACAGGAGGTAAACTATGTGGTATGGGATGGTTGCTTTGTGTTTACCTCAACGTGAGCACTAGATCCCTCATGGATTTTCCTTTTCTTCTTTGAAGAAAAACACACAGTGAATCTCCGCGTGAAACGTTTCTTCTGCTTATGGACTTCCCTAAAAGGCTTGGCCAAATTGTTCTTACTGTCATAGCTCATGGTGCGACCATCTACATGGCACTGGCACGCAAAGGGCCTCTGAAACATTTTAAAAGGATATACATATATGTGAGCAATCGTAATCCGATATCCAAAGTAAAGTTCACTTTCAAATAATACAAGTGAAGTTACACACTTGCATTTACATAAGATTATTATTCTTGACTAACTTTAAATACTAGATGTACATAAGATAGTAGACTTTAAAGTTGACCAAGCTCTTCTTTAACAAGTGTACTTTTTGTTATGACAATTATGACACTATTTGAACAATACTGATAGTTTGTTTCACAATTGATACATTTTTCTAAACAAATATGATGGAGAACGGAACTGTAGCCTCTAGAAATCGGCATGTGACCTCGGGATTGAAGAAGCAGGGAGAGGACAGAGCATAATACAAAAATACAAATGAGAACAAAAAAAGTAAATACGAAATACCAAGACGAGTAAAAAGAAGGCTGTTTGATTGATCCCATAGAAATCAGATGAATATTATGTGAAATTTATAGAAGAACAAAAATGCTAGTGTTTCATTGACCACATATATCAGTGGCTATATATGTTCAATTGTAGTGATTAACAGATTTCCAGTTGTTACGAAATTTTATGTTAAATATTACGCTTTTCATATAATTTCCCAAAAACTATTAGAATTGTGTAGGTTCTCTACTGGCTATAATCAAAGCAACCAAAAAATATTCAAAATGTAACCAGTGAGGATATTATAATATGTTTTTGGCTCACTTATAATCACTTTTTGGTAAACAATAGAAATACATATATAAAAATTTATATCTATGAGAATAATGATGTTGCACGTGCAGCTGTGTGTGCCAATGTGCTAGTAATACCTTCTGCATTGGAGATGAAATGGCGTTACTCCTAGCTTCTGAACTTTTATTGTGTAATAAGGCCAAGTGGCACTCTACAGTAACCTTCCCACCACAGATTGTACTCTTCTCCAAGGTGTTGTTATCATCATAGAGCACTTCACTCATTTTGTCGGCGCAACTGACTTCTATGTTAGCCTTATCACTATTCTGTTGCTCCAACATTTCAGTATCTTCTCTAGTATTCTTTGGCAGGTTGTCGGTTTCAGATTTATCTTCTAGAATATCCCCGTTACAGCTTTCAGAAGGGAAAACACCAGCTGTTTGCAGAGTCAGTTCATCATGACACGGATCCTTTTCCATTAGCTGAATCCTAGTATTACAACCATGCAGATCTTGACTTGATTTCTCACCAATGCCATGTTGCTCTGAATTTAGAGGAGTCTGGCTGCTGTGTAGTTCTGCAGTACGAAACGATGTTATATACCTGAATCTATTTCAGGAACGGCACAAATATAAGGAACATCTAATATATGTTCTCTTTCCCTCGCAAAATAAAATAAAATAAAATAAGGAACATCCACCCCATTTCTCCCCTTCCATCCTATCCTTTTATTCCCCAGCCTACACAGGAGACAAGGTTGGGCCCCGATGGTGATGAGACTGACAAATGGTTAGAGATCTACAGTACATGTCAAGCTCTCTTCTCACCAGCTGCTGTCGGAGAAGCTGTGGCTGTGTTCCAGGCATGTTGCTTGGCAAAAAGGCTACGTTTGTTTGGTTGAAGGATGATGGTAGTGGTTATGGTTTTCTGTTTTCTTTTCTCCCTTTTTTTGCTTCTGGAACTACAAAGACTATGTGGATGATGTTCTGAAAATTAAATTGGGGGCAGGAACACCTTAATTCAAAGGAGAAAACACAGTACCTGTTGATACAAGTGGGGCTTGTATGCCGTTGATGAGATGTGATCCATCTTTATCTTTAAAGTTTAGCATACTGTCCAGCAGCGTTCCAACACTCGATGTAGACCCCGTCATTTCCATCTCTGGAAATCGTGCATTTTCAGACTGCAGAAGAGTGCCTTCCTGGCACTCTTATAATTCCCTGGAAGCTTCTGGCATCCAAAGCAGAAGTTAACGAACAAGCCAACATGCCAGGTCCCAGAATAAAGTAAACAAACAAACTTCATTGAGAATTCTCGCCAAAAAAGCCCTCCAAATAATACAATTAATTATGAAAGCCTCTTTTTAGATAGAACTAGCTAACATGACACGTTAGACCATAGTAAAATAAGCAAACTTCATTGAGAATTCTCTAAAAACACACACACACACAAAGTAGCTCTCATATTCTAGTCATTAGTTACGGAGGTATTTTGTTTTTGTTTTTTATGGAACATGCAAAGAACATTTGCAATAATTATGAAAGCCTATTCTAGCACATTTAACTATCCACATCTCTCCCTTCTCAAAGTCAAATAACCAAAAACAGAACAAACAAACAAACAAACAAACAAGAGAAACAGAGGGATTGAGCTTTACATGGTATTTGTGAAGATTACCAACTTCATGATCACCATCACCATTAACCTTGAATCCTGCTAGCATGATTCATGGGAACTCAGATATTATACTCTCATTAATAATATTTGTAGCACACTCACTAGCATGCAATTGTGCATTCCTTTAAGGGTTCGAATTAGGGGCAAGGTGGAGTTTTTTAAGAGAAGATCTATAGTTCTCCACACCAATAGAGAATCAAGGATCATAGTAGCGTACCAGGGTTGCAGCTTTCTTCTAGATGCATACCCGATTCATCACTGCGCAAGAATATTTGTATTACTATTGCCGTATAACACAGTTAAGATAAGCAACTCTTCTTTTTGTTATTTTTGAAGTAAATATATTGATGCAGGAAAGCATTTCTAAGGGCATCGAATGGTTTGAACTTATTGCACGGCCCTACTAGACAATCATACCTCTTCTTTCTGCTTCCGCTCTCGCTCTGTTCCCCTTCAGGTAAAACTGGTGCAATTTCTAGGATCACAATAGCAAAAAAGAAGAAACAGGAGTTAGATTAGGAGGTGCATTTACATGTTGCACAACATTCAAGCATCTCACCTAACTCATCCTAGCAGATATACGAATGTAAGAACTGTGAGTCATTTAAAAATAGTATGACATGTGAGTCACTTCACAAACAAAAAGGAAAAATGATGGCAGATTAAAAAAAAACTACCGGCGCTATGGAATAAGCAAGCAATGTGATCGAGCTATATTTTGTTAGTGTTTCAAGACAGAGAAGTGTAAGATTCCATTTTGCAGCATAACATCCATCCGAGTGTGGTTTTCTGTAGCTCAGGCTACATGGTACCCCTTATCTTTGCCATCCATTTCTGCATCGCGATCCGTGCAGACGCATTTGTCTTTTTTGTTTCGCTCAAACGACACAACATATAAACTTCAAATTTTGCAGAACAACAATACATTCTAACTACAATCTGGGAAAAAACTTTCAGATTTTTTCATGCATTTTAAATGGTTAAAATAATATTTCTAGTCAAACAAAATCTCATTTTCTATATTTACATCAGACCAAAAAATCTGAAAGTTTTTTCACACATTGATGTTCTAATGTTTGTTCAATCTGCAAAGTTTGAAGTTCATATATTGTTTCATTTAAGAGAAACAAAAAAGAGAAATCTGCTTGTTATAAGTTAGTTGGAGAGTACGGAGCAAGGCTGGAGGGTTGAGGATAAGAGGTTCCATGTAGCCTGAGCTACTACAAAGAAACTTTGTGCATCCATACCTATGTTGGTATCTTTCAGAAAAGATGTGGATCTGGAATTAGTTGCGGCCAACCCAGCAGGCGGCCATGACATCTGGTACGGGTATCCCCGAAACTGAAACTTGGCCAGCAGAGCCATGCTCTGCAAGTCGACCACAAACTCAGGGTCGTGGTCGTCCTTGCAAAGCAGCGCTAGTCCATTGATCACCATGCGAACTTGCCGCACCCGAGCAGATTCGCCAAGCAGTCGGCTCACAGGGATTTTCTTCTCGAGCCTCCACCATTTTTCCGATGAGTCAAGCTTCCACGATTTGTTGTTCAATGATGAGTGGAGCTTCCACATGTTGGTATCGAGTACCCAAACTTCCAAGGTGGGGGTTTCCTCGCCAGTCAGGCCTGTAAGGCACACGAGGCAGCCCTTGCCGTCCTCGATCTCTCCGATGGCGTACCTTGAAGGCACGTGAAAGCTCAAGTCCGGCGGGAGAGGGCGCAGCGAGAACTCCATGGTGCTCGCCTCAAGCACGAGCACCAAAGATTGTTGGGCGCACCTCCAGAAGACATTGCCGGCTGCGTACATCGCCGTGGTGCCCCATTTCGGCAGCCTTTTTATGCCGTCCGTCCACGGACTCACCCACGGGTGGTGGTGCCACTCGAGAGTGTTGGAGTCGTACACAAGGACTCGTATCTCCTGGCTTTGCTGCTGCAGGGACACCACACGGAAGGACTCCATGGCTTGTGGCATCGTCCTTGGGCCACATTGCCGCACGGTGGAGGACGTGCCAGTGCCACGGCCGGCGTCGAGCAAGCAGTCTGCCAAGCATTGCCTGCCCGCCATGCCATCATGTGGCCGGCGGGGAATACCCACTCGCCGCTTGGAGACAGGGTCGTAGATGCAGAGGGAACTGTCCTCCAGGGAGAGGAGGAGGAGGCCGTTGCGGCAGTCCCGGAGGCGCAGGCTCGGTTCGCCGTCGAAGCGGGTGAGGAAGAAGTCGCCTTTGCGCGTGACGGCGGTGATGTCCCGGTCGGGACCCTTGCAGAAGCGGGCTGGGTAGAAATGGGGCCACGGCGCGCAGCCGCGGCCGTCGTCCGAGGCGAAGAGGCCGACGAGGGGCGAGGACGGATGGCGCTCGCGGAAGCGGCGGAGGAACTTGGAGTCGGAGGCGATGCCGCGCCAGCGGCCGGAGACGAGCGCGGCTTGGGCAAGGGACGCCGCCGACGGGAGGCGGAGCAGGATCTCCCTGAGGATGTCGCCGTCGTGGAGGGGGTTGGCGACGACGGCTGCATCTGCAGGGCCCTCCTCCTCCTCCTCAGCCATCAGAGACGAGCACTTGGCGCACAAACTGCCCGCGAGTGGAGAGATCCCCAAATCCCGACCTCCGCCACAGCACCGCTGCACGCCAACGGAGATATCCCTACAACTGCCGCGCGCTCGCCATGCCTAGGAAACAATGCGCGCGGGGGCAGGGGCGCGGCTGCCGGAGGTGGACGGAGCAGATGCGGCGCCGCGCCTGCCGGATGGGGAGAGAAGCTGCGACGCGGCGGCCGGACGGGGGGAATGCTGGCCTGCCCGTCTGAGGTCGAGGGGTAGGGACGAGCGCGCGGGCTCGCAGCGGCAGATGCGGGCGAGGTGGGCCGGCCGGACGGCGACGAGTGGCTGCTGGACAGGGGAGAAGATGGGGAATGTGGGTGGGTGCTGCTGGATCGGGGTCGGGGAGAAGATGGGGGCGTGGCTGCTGTCCGACGCAGCGGCCGGACGGTGGAGCGCTCCTCGACGGCGGCTCGACGGCGGTTGCAGCAGCGGATCCAGTACTGAACTCTACTCTTTTTTTAAGAAAGAAGTATACAAATCACCCCCAAATCTACTCTTTGGGATACATAACCCCCTGAACTCAAAACCGGGATAAATAACACCCTGAAATTACTAAAACCGGGTTAATAACCCCCTTAAGTGGTTTCTGTCTAATCTAGAGCGGTTTTGTACCCCATGATGCACATTACGCGCTAACTGGGCAAATTATGCTGAGAAGGTCCCATTAGTCAGTTGCCTCTCTTTCCTTTATCACCTCGTCCCCTTCCTCTCTTTCTTTTTCCGTGAGCGCCATCGCCTCAAGAATCGCCTCTCCTCTTTCTCTCGCTAGGGCGATGTCCGCCGTCGCCGCCATCCCCATCCGCCCTCGCCGCCGTCATCTGCCGCTTGCCCGTCGCCGAAGGAACGAAACCATGTGTCCAGGTGTGTGTGCCTCCATCTCCGTTGCTGCTCTGCTTCGCTTCTGGTGTCGTTCATCGGCGGAATCGCGAGCTCCAGTGAACGATCGTGTGCGCCGCAGAGGTGTGGGCTCGGGTGAGGGGAATGGGGCGTCTCAGTGCTAGGGATTTAGGGGGATAAGTAGTGTTTTGGATGCGCCCTGTTCTGTTCAAGTGCGTTTTGGATGATGCCCTATTCCGTTCATGAAAAAAGGGATGTTTTTGTTAGGGAAAAGGTGTGACTTTTTAGCAGATTTTGGTGCAGGACAAGCTGGTATCTCTCGTGCAAAGTAAATGGGTCTGAATGAACTTGCATTGCTAGGAGAATTTATTGTAGATGATTACCCTATTTGGTTAAGGAGAAAAGTGCACTTTCTTGTCTGAATGAACTGAACATGTTAGTCCATAGTGAATTATCTGCTATACTTGTCTGAATGAAGTGTTTTTGTTTGAATTTGTTGCCTTCGTATATCACAATTGTAGTCCAAATTGTAAATGTTAGTTCTCTTAATTTTTGTGTACTGCCAGAGCTAAAGATCCAACAGATTTTTTTTCTATGAATGATAGTTCTTCGTGTCTCAATTTGTAGGTTCACCTGGTCCCGATCCATTGGACAACTTCTTTGTCAGGTTTCATTATTATGGATCATTTCAGCAAGTGGATGGAAAGCTGGATTACGTTGGGGAATTGGTGGCAGAGATGATCATGCCAAGGGATGATTTGTCCTATGAAGAATTATATAACTCCGCAGAAGATATTCATCAGATGGAAAGAGGTCACTGCAGAGGTAGTTACACCTACAAATTGCATTGGTTGCCTCCAGGGAAAAAAGTCAGTGATGGTCTTATGTTCATGTGTGATGATGAGTCAGTGAAGACGATGGACATTGGAACAATAGATAGTTATGCTGATGTTTTTGTTGAAGAATTGGACATGCCAATCCAGCAACACTTTGACAATGACAAAGAAATGCAACCAGACCAAACCATGTTATCTGCTAATGATGAGCAATTCGACATATGTGCAGGTGATGAACAGATTGACATATGTGCAGGTCTATTGCCAGTAAATGTAGGAGAAACTTACTCTAGGCAGAGAGGGACAAAATTACCACTTATTAGTGTGCAAGTTGTTGACACTGGAGTGGTCGATGAGATGTTACTTGAAAAGATGGCAAGTCCTGCTGAAAGTGCTCAAGTCAGCGCATCATCTGCTCATGAAACACCGAGAGAAGTTTGTGCAAGTGCTGCTAAGTTGGAGGCACACTTTACTGCAGCTGAAGTTGCTATACCTGCTAAGTTGCAAATTAGAAGAAGGGCAGTGGCAAAATCTACTGAACATGTTCCAGCAACAAAAGCACCTCATGTTGCTCCAACAGTTGGTGCAGATCATGAGATTTCAACTGAACATGTTCCGGCAACAGAAGCACCTCCTGTTGACAAATCAGATGAAGAGGATACTGATTATGAACCAATACCTGATTGCAGTTCCGGAGAGGATTCGGAGGCAGAGGAACTGAGAAAACTTGCAAGAGAGATTAGGAGGAATGAGAGAGCTAAGAAGCTAGGACAAAGAAGTGAAATTATAATGCAAGACAATAAAGTGCAATGTAAATCTAATGAGGATTTGGATGCTGGTTTTGAAACTCCATATTTTGACTCTGATGAGGACGATTTCTCTTATGATGAAGAAAGTGATGGAGAAGGAGGTACCACTATGGTAAGAAGGAAGAGCAAATGGCCTAGGTTTGATAGCAAAGCTGAAAAACCCAACTTCCAACTTGGCATGGTTTTCCGAAGCAGAGAGCACATGAAGAAAGCAATGATTTCCTATGGAATTAAAACTCACAGGCATTTGTTATTCAACAAAGATGAACATGACAAAGTTAGAGCTTACTGTTCTTGGCCTGGATGTAAGTGGGTCATTTATGCATCAAGGACCACTAGACACAAATGGTTGCAAGTCTCAACATTTGTAGATAAGCATCATTGTATTCCAAGAAGAGACAACAAACTAGTGACATCTGTAGTTATTGCTAAGAGGTATGCAGCACTTATAAAAGCAAATCCGACATGGAAATTAGAAAACTTGAAGCAAACTGTTTTGAAGGACATGTTTGCAGATGTCACTATTGCACAATGCAAAAGAGCCAAAAAATTAGTGATGGAGAAATACAAAGATACTACCAAAGGAGAATATTCCTTGGTTTTTGACTACCAATTGGAATTGCTGAGAACTAACCCAGGTAGCACTGTTGCTATCAAACTGGCAGATGATGTGAAGGATGATGAGCATGTTTTTGAGAGGTTTTACATGTGCTTTGGTGCTATTAAGAAAGGATTTCTTGCTAGCTGCAGAAAGGTTATAGGACTAGATGGATGTTTCTTCAAAGGAGCTTGCTTTGGTCAGCTACTTGTTGCTTTGGGAAGAGATGCCAACAACCAGATGTACCCTGTAGCTTGGGCTGTAGTCGAAAAAGAAACATATGAGTCCTGGTTCTGGTTTGTTGAGAAGTTAAACAGAGACCTCAAAATCAACAATCAAGGGGATGGGTGGGTGTTCATCTCAGATCAGCAGAAAGGACTAATAGGGGCTATAGAGGATATTCTTCCAAAAGCAGAACACAGGATGTGCGCAAGGCACATTTACTCAAACTGGAAGAAAAAACATAATGACAATGATTTGCAAAAGAGATTCTAGAGATGTGCAAAGGCTCCTAACAGGTCTCTATTCAACTATAACAGGGCAAGGTTGGCTCAATTCACAGTTGAAGGAGCAAAGGACATGATGAACACAGACCCAATTCACTAGAGCAGGGCTTACATGAAATTGGGAAGCTACTGTGATTCAGTTGACAATAACATGTGCGAGTCATTCAACAATTGGATCATGGAATCAAGATATCTACCTATTATATCTATGTTGGAGTGGATAAGATGCAAAATTATGGTGAGGATACAAGAATGCATTACCAAGTGTTTGAAATGGTCAGGAATCATATGTCCAAACATATTTAAGAAACTAAACAGAATATAGCAAGATTTGGAAATTGTCATGTGCTCTGGAATGGAAGAGATGGGTTTGAGGTGTTAGAGCATGATAAATACAAGTACATTGTGAATTTACAAACTAGGGTTTGTTCTTGTAGATATTGGCAGCTATCTGGTCTACCCTGCTGCCATGCAATAAGCTGCATCTACAAGAGCTCCCAACAGTTGGATGCATACATAGCTGAGTGTTACTCCATTAAGACTTACAAGAAAATTTACTCTCATGTGTTGGAGCCATTGGAAGGTCAGTCAAATTGGTCGGTTGCTGATCATGTGAGGCCCCAAGCACCTGGTTACATCAAAATGCCAGGCAGGCCAAGGAAAGAAAGGAAAAGAGAAGAAGGAGAAGCACCAAAAGGGATAAAAATGAGTAAGGTGGGTGGACAAATCACCTGCAGTTCATGCAATAGGACTGGCCATAACATGTCAAGTTGCAAAAATAATGTTGCTGCAACTAAGCATCATGGAAATGCACATATTGTCAGAGAAAGGTCTAGGAAAAGGAAACTGCAGAAAGAAGCCTGTGAGGCAGAAACTTCAAAGAAATCAAAGGTAATGTGGTGAACATAAGTAATTTCAAATCTTTACTACATTGTCACATGTCGTATTATACCCAGATAGTCCATAAGTTTTAATGTGGTACACTGTTTAATGTGATAGGCTGAAGAAGTTGCAAGGCAGGGCAAGGGAAAGGCTGTAGCTCAAGACCTACAAGTGCATGAGTCCAGAAGACCTACAGGAATTCAAATTAGGGAGCCAAGTTTACAACCAAGCTCACTGCCGGTGTCGCAACCAATCTCGCAGAAATATGATAAGCATGCTCCAGGCAGCAAGGCTAGACCAGCAAAGGTTCAAAGAAGTGTTGCTACTCCATTTGTTCCACCTAAACAAGTTACAAATTTGCCACAACACTGTGTCTTCAATTTAGCTGCATACAAAGAAGCTAAGAAAGGCAGAGCAGGGCCTTCAGTTTGATGTTGAGGAGTCATTTTTGTGTCAAGAGTCATGTCGTGTAATATAT